ACCTACCAGTCAACAGTTTTTGAACAGTAAGATTTTTAATGTTTTATAAAGCCGCGTCCCCCGCGTTATCTACGCCCCTGCTTCAATATACAGTATCACATGGCATAATGTAATGTAAAATGCTGTATTTGATGTCATCTGTCTCCCTTGTTCTGATAAATCTCTGATCAATCTCTGATCAGTTCCTCTCCCTTGTGTCCTTCTGTATGTTCACAACTAGCAAAACACACGGTTTTACAAATGAGGAGTTCCTCAAAGGGAGGTTTTAGGTGATTTTGTCAAGTCTTGCTTACTTCTGGGTACCAATTTGTCCCCAGCATATGGTTACAGTAAGTAGGTACACACACACACACACACACAGGTTTCCTATCGTTATGGTGACATTCCATAGGAGTAATGGGTTTTATACTGTCTCCCCCTACAATAATCCTACTCCTAAACCTACCCTTACAAAAAAAAATTTAAAATTCTCATTGGACCCAAAAAAGGAAAATGATTTCAGATATTGCCATCTTTGTGGGGACATTTTGTCAAACACACACACCCTTACAAAATAGTGGTTATCATCTTAGATAAATCACTTTTAGTGTAAAAAAAAAAATCAGTGCATTTGGTTATCCCTAAATTGCAATCACGTTCTATATAAACTAAATATCTATTGAATCTATATCTATAGATGCACCACCAAATTATTAACTGATTAACCATCACGATGAGTTAGATTAAATAATAGACAAATGTATTAAACTGAATGAGAAGTTTGATAGTAATAGCTTTACGAAAGGCAGTTACTGTGAATGAAACATTTAGATGAAACACTTATTTTGTGTAGTAACAAGGACATTTTGTGATTGTGTGTATTGTATTAACACAATTGAAAATATGCTGAAATGTTGGAAAAAGTGCACTTTTGATGATCTGTTGTGATATTAGTACTAAGAGTTTTGAAAACTTACCAATTGCTTGTGAAAATTGCGCCAAAGCAATTTTTAAAAAACTGTAAAAAAAAGTTAAATTAGTGCATACGGCTTGTGCACTATATTCCAAGTCTTCTGAAGCAATACAGTACCCCAGTTACTCAGCAACACTCTTTTCAATTTGTTGTTGCATTGTTTAGTATAAGTCTGTTTGCCTCCTCATCTTTACAATTTGCACAATGGTTTTTATACGCTGACATGAGCAAACAATTATTTTAGTAAGAGTTTTTGACCTTGTTCTCTGTGTTACAATAGCACCTGCACATTTCATTAAACATAATTACTTCACATACTTAGCTCGCTCACAGGCCATTCTGTCTTCGCTCAGCCTTGTGTGGTTGGATCTGCATGCTTAGCCGTGCATGTGTAAGCTTCATTTGGAGATAATTGCTAATAATTATCCCCTGATAAGTCAGTACGGCACAAGGCGGCTTGAGAACCGGGGCTGTTTTGCTGTCGGTTTCCAAACTGGCACAAGAGCAGATAAGATATGAAATGATGAAGACGAGTTCTTTTTTCAAGAGGTCAGTTGAAAGGGGGACCATTTAAAGAGAGAAACTACGATGTTGTTTGTGCTCTTATTGTCAATCAGGCTTCCATTATTTTGGAGGTCACAGACTCTGCGCTTCAGGCTAGTATTTCAATAAAAGATAAATAAATAAATAAATCACTATTAACAGCATGTTCTGCCTCCTGCCTTTCAAGGAGGACATTCCACATTTAAACTTTTTTGTTAAACTCAAAGCTGACTGAACAAAAACCTCCTTCATTATTCTTCTTTGTAGCATGTTAGCCATCTGTTTGACCACACAACCTAATTACTAGAATTACACATTTATTTCTACACATAGACTTTCAAATTTTTTCCCAAGGAATGGTTCACAAAATAAGCAAAAGAAGATTCTGGCATCATGTTGTTCCAAACCTGTATGCATTTTATCCTGTAAAACACTTTTAAAATCATTGGGTGAACAATTCCTTCACACATCTCGAGGTTTCAATGAATAAATAACAAATCTCAGTCTTTGACCGCATTGACTTCAGAATACTTGTAACACAGTGTCGATTTTTTAGCTTGACAGCCATTATTGTATTGAAAAGAATATCTTGGACAACGCAAAAACAACACATAAAACTCCACAGAAGTAAGAAAGTCAGGTTTGGAACAACATTGGGTTGAGTAATGACAGAATTTTGGTTTGACATATTTCTTTAAAGGGATAGTCCACCAAAAACTAAATAAATAAATAATAAAAATAAGAATATCTGCAATCATTTACTCACCCTCATGTCATTCCAAACCCTTAAGATATTTTGGTATGTTGCTGATATGTTGATAACCACATGTTTCAGGTTCCATCGGCTTCCGTAGTTTTTTTTTTTTGTCTACACTATGGAATTTGATGGGACCAACATTCTTTAAAATATTTTCTTTTATGTTCCACAGAAAAAAAGAAATGCATACAGGTTTGGAATGACATGAAGGTGAGCAAATAATGATCTAATTTTCCTTTTTGAGTAGACTGCTGTGGAAACTCAGAAGCAGAATGCACATGCACATTCACTGTAATCCTTTATCAGAGCAAGGTAGTGTTTGCGAATATGGCATAGCCTGGTTAAATGAAGACAGAGAGTTTCTATTGTGGAGCCCTGAAGAGCAGCTTTGGCATTAAAGTCTAATTAAATATATTTTTTACTGCGTTTCTCCTTGAGGCAGCTATTGCACCTCGTCTCCCCTGGTGACCAGACTGGAACGAGAATGTTTCGTTTCTGTTAGCAATGCTACCATGCCGACAGCAAAGAGACCCGGCGGGCCCTTGCTGTGTCCCCTTCATTACATCAGCAGCACAGCTCTGCCTCCTATCAACACCGTGATTAAAATGTTACTGGTGATAAGAGGATATGAAGGTCAAGCCACAAGGAGTGCGGCATGGAATCTGAGACCTCCACCTGAACTTAACAAGGAGGCCTCATCAGAATGCCACGCATGCCTTTTACTTCATGCAGCTCGATGGCTTTGTTTTGTTCAGTCATTGGACCAGCCTTGTTAGTTCAGGCTGGTGAGCCATTCACTGCAATGCATAGTTCTTGCTGAATAAGTACCTCATTGCCTACTTGAAATGTTGCATGTCACTGCAAAACAGCTTGTTTTTATGGTTTTTACTCTTGTGTAGTTTTAATATGTCTCAGAAGTCTATTACTCGCTGTTTATATGCAGTTTAATGACCCACTATAATATCAGGGACTAATTTGCATCATATGTCATTATTTGGTGGGAGATTTTATGTGTGCAAGCTTGCTGACATTTCACAGAAGCAACAGATTCATGCTTGGCTGACAGGTGCCAGTTTTAAAGAGGATGTCCTAGAATCTTGAGATTTGACATACCCTTCTGTTAAATTAAATTTAAAAAAAACCTATAGATAATGAGATGCAAATCAGGGTGTCTGGAGAATAATGCCCTCTCATTTATTCTGCCCGTGTATACCTGCGGGGACTGAGCAGTCATTTGTCACTTCCAAACGTGATTCGGTGCATCACATTTATCAGCCCCTGCACGCGCATCTCTTCGGACACACTGGTTTTAATGGTTTTTATAATGCTCCTCTGTGCCCACGCAGGGCAGACAGTACACCTGCGTGAGAAAGAGAGACAGCAGACATCAAGAGCCTGGTTATGCCCGTAATCCGCGAGGAGCCTCAGTCTGGAAAAAGTTAGATCAAAGACTAGCTACTGATCAGCTTTTGATTTTTTTACAGTGTTAGTTTAATCTGTTAGAATGAAGCTGTGAAGCTTTAAAGGAATTAAGTTTTTTTCCTAACTTAATGGATGGCATATGTGACATGATGTTTATTTCTGCAAGGTGTTATTTCGCCTATAATAATCATGTAAAATATTTATAGTAATACATTTACATTGGAGGCATGTGGACCAAGTACTTATCTATTTATATTAATTTCCGTCATTCATTTATATGTATAAATTCTGTTTTCTATTTCTATTTCCATTTTTATTAATATTTTTGTATTCCCTTACTCCACAAAATTAATTCATGGGAGTCACACTTAATCACATACTCATGTTGGGGAAACAAGGTGGATTATGATTATGGCTTTATATAGTTTATGATACAGATACAGATTAGATTAAAGATAATTGTGTTATTCAGTAAATTAGTTCAAAAAATATTTGTGCAAGTGATGGTCAATTTCTTTTTAAATTAGGAGCAAGAATCACAGGTGAACTGAAAAAGAGACACACATATAGCCTAAACAAGTTAAGCTACTCTATTCTAGCTGCAGAACAGTTTCACATAACTGCATCACATTTCTTTACGTCAGTACTGCATGTGTGCCACAGAAATATCCATCTTTTGCCTTCCTGCATACAAAATCAATTTCCATGCTTAGAGAGGAAATGGGGGGAGGAAACCTTGCTGCATAGTGTGTATGTGAGACAAATGCTTGCTGGGGTTTGTCCTCAGTGGCCATACTAAATGTATTACCAACAACATTTAAAACATGACTGCCTCTGAGGATTTAAAACTTTCACAAGTGCTTTAGAATTGATTGATATTAAATAGAATTCATATAGCACAAAATCTGTAAATAATCAAAGCGTGCAACATTATATGCCAAATATACGGCACTTATTTTTTATATTATCTAACAGTTTTCTTTCTCTCATTGCAAGTGTGACCTGTATGTAATTATTTCTTTTCCAGTGGGATAATTATAAATAACCTATCTTTCGAGAGGAATGAAAAAACATAAAAATAATGATGTGGATTTTGCAGAATCCTTGGCACCATGTGCAAGGTTTTGAAGTCACTTTCTGGAAGCTTCAGAATACCCACACATGCAAATGCACGTTTACTTGAAATGCAAATGATTTACAAGGTCACTCTGGTCTCTAAGTGCTGGTTCCAATTTTTTTTTCCCTCTTGGGTGTAATTGAACTCCACGAATGAAAATCCACATGGGCATATGTTTTATTCTTTTTTTTTTTCTTTCACCGTGACAGGTGCAAGTGCAACCTTCACGCCAACAGCTGCATCTATGACAAAGAGAGACTGACTTGCGAGTGTGAGCACAACACCACGGGGCCTGACTGTGGCCGCTGTAAGAGGAATTATCAGGCCAGAGCTTGGAGCGCAGGATCCTATCTCCCCATCCCCAAGGGCACATCAAATATCTGTGAGTACACACAGACACAGACACGGGCACACACATTCCCATTCCACTTACTGGAAAGAACAATATGGGCTCTGTGTTTGTGGATAACAAGGCTCACATGTCCCTTTATTCTGACCATAAACCATCTCTCTTACTGCTGTCCTACCTTTCACAATGCGCTCATGGTGTCTCCCCAGAAGCCATTACCCTACTTCCAGTTTAAAACCAGGTCCTCACAGGAACTCTGCCACCGAACGCTGAACAACACAGTCACTTCTAAACTTTTAAGAAGGGCTATCAAACATCATTTTTTTAAACATTGGTTTCTGTTGAATTACAAACTAAATGCTTGTTATTGTGTACTGCACTGAGATAAAGTCCAAAAAGTGGTGGTGGTACTATGGTTATCAATTGTGATTTGATGCACATTGTGATCCATTAGATCCCAAAATATTTAAGTGAAATGTGAATTTCTGAAATTCTATTTTATATGTCCTACTTTAGCTTTAATGACAGCAGTACTTGAGCTAAATAAACTCTACAGATTTGAAAATCTATTTTTATTTTTTTCTGAATCATAATCAAAATCATAAACTTTTCAGTTTATTTCCAGGATTAAATTAAACTTTTGGACCCCACTGTATACTATGGTACTGTATGATTTCCATATGCCATACTGTATTTACATTCCCAGTACTTCAGAGAATGCCATAGTATTACCATTATGGCAGTTCCAAAGCACCTACTTTTTACTGTTCTTTTGCCTTTAAAGATATAAAATAAAGAGATTAAAAAAATTCTGTCACTCACTATCATGTAGTGTTGCTTTTGTCAACGAAAATTATGACTAAATATCGTCGTCAACGAACCTTTATTACGTGACGAAAACGAGATGAGACGAGACGAAAATGCTGGTTATGTGACGATGACTATAATTAAATGTATAATGCAATATCGTTGACGAATAAAAACGAGACTAAATGTGGTTTACAAAATAAAAACTATGCTAAAATGTCTCTTCATTTTCGTTGACCAAAACAAGACGAAACGAAATGTTATAATAGACTAAAACTAAAATTAAAACAGGCCGCCAAAAACAACACTACTATCATGCAGTTCCAAACTTGTATGACATACTTTTTGCTCTGCGGAACTGAAGATATTTTGAATAAGGTTTCAGTTTGATATTTTTTTTATTATTATTTGATAAAAGTCCAAAAAGAAAATACAAAAAAAAAAAAAAAACAAGAGAGAAAGTCACACAGGTTTTAAATGGCATGTGGGTAAGTAAATGATGGCATAGCTCCGCTTTTGGGTGAACTATCGCTTTAGGGAGTGTTTACCCTTCCAAAAGATGCAGAATACTTGTAGGACCTGTCTTACAAAGAATGCAGTGCATGTCAAATGTTATAACTATAACAGAAGGACAGTTAGCCTTTAGAAAACCAGTGCTGTCTGTAATTCCAGCCGGAGGACTACACCACCACTGCAGTTCAATTCAAATGGCAGGAGACAGAGCCTTCAATCCAGCACACAGAATGTTTGCCCAGAAGTAAACTAGCACTATTAAACACTCACCATATGCTTCTGGGACTAAAGCAGCAGCTCATACCACAGATATGACCTTAGCATGCACAGAAACTGTGTGCATGCCAAAAATGTATTTTCAGTCCTCAGCAGGTTTGTTTGTGTGTCTGTACATGCATGTGTATGAGTGGAGCGATGCGTGCCTCCTGGCAGCTGTTGTACCTCATGACTCTCTAGGAGCCGGTGGAGTGTTTTGAAGGACTGAGATTGACAGGACATTATTAAAAAAAAGCCAGCACAGACTCTGAACCCACTATAAAACACAGCCTCACATTAAAGAGAGTGAGAAATCCATAACGTAATAATGCTGCAAAAGCCAGGCTCTTAGATCATTCCCTTTGGATTAAAAATAATTAGATTAAACAATAGTAGTATTTCAGACATAAGAAAGGCAGTTTGTCATTTTAAAACCAATTGCAGCTGATTTTACAACAGTTCTATGTGCTTGACACCATGCAATGGAGACAAATGGGGTAAATGAAAAAACTAGTAGTAAAAATAGAGTAGATGTAGTAGAGTAAATGTCCACTAATCTGCTATTTTTATCCTATAAGTAGTATTGTAGCACATTGTAGCATTTTGTATGCATATGCATACACAGAACAAATGCAATAATCCAACAAATTCTAAAAATGACGCACTAAAATGAATGAAGCATTAGGTCATATTAATTTTAGCAAATAAAAAAGTATTTTATAGGTCTGTTTATATATTAGTTCTTTTTTTTTTTTCAATTTGTTTGTATTCCTCATAGATTGTCACACACACACACCCTACACCTAAACCTACCCCTCACAGGAAACTTTCTGCATTTTTAGATTTTCAAAAACCTTCATTATGATGATTTGATGTATGATTTATAAGCTTGTTTCCTCATGGAGACCTAAAAAATGTCCCCATAAGGTCAAAATTTACTGTCTATTTACATTTAATTTACAATTTAAAATTCATTGAAAAAAGTAGCCTAAGCCTACAATGACAAGAAGCAACGGTTAAATATGAGTTAAGTTGAATCAAATTGACTGTGAAAGTCGTTTCAACTGATTAAACGTATTAAACTGACTTAAAAAAATCATTTGTTGCCATGATTTTTGGATTATATTATAACCTGTAACATGTCTCTGCCGTTCCCAAATTAAGAATTAACAACAATTTCTACAGACAGCAGAGAAAGAGCGAGAGCGTCTACCTCAGCAGCAACAAATCTCGCATTCTCACATCTGTAGCGCTTAGTTTGATCTTTAACGTTAGGTCTTTCCTATTCTTGAAACAAAATTAATGCTTAAGGTTGATTCAATATTACTCTTAATGAAAAAACACACACACACAACATCAACAATGCTACAATGACAAAGTCGCTTATATTAAACATAAAACTTGTATGAACAGATAAGAACAAATAAGATCAGTGGCGTATAGCGTCTGGTTATGCAGGGTATGCAGGTGCATATGGGCCCGGGCAGTTTG